TGGTTTTAAGCTGGTTTTGAAACATTCACATAAGGATGACTAGCTCATTTCTGCAAATTACTAAGGTATGGTGTGCTCACCAATAAAACACAAATAACAATAAAAATACTTGCTCATAGGATTGTTATGGCTGCCAGAGAGTTAGCATTACATAATTACAGGCTACATTGGACTTACAAAACTGAATAAAACAGAGTTTGCCATGTAGAAAAGAGAAGAATAGAAAAGAAAACAAATGAGAAACATAGATGGACACTCAGGAGTGATTAAAGTGAGTGGCAGTGCAAAGCTAAATACTTGTATACTTACGAAGCTGCCCAAGTCGAGCCTTTTCTTTTTTACCAAACAAACGTCCTATTGAAGACTTGATTCCTTTCTTCTTGGGGACTTTGTGAAGAGAGTCTTGGCTGCTGCTGGTACTGCCAAGCCCAAGGCTTTCTGGCTCAAGGGAGACAGATAAACTACTGCAAAACACAAAAGAGGGCAAACCGCTTGTTTTAATTGAACATCCACAAGGTACCCAAGACTTGTTTCCTTTATGAATGTACAAAAGGAGGAACAAGCAGATGTTGAATGTTATTTTCTCTCTTTCTTCCTACATTTTCTGTTAGGCAGATTTAAGTATAGTTTCCACAGCCTTAAGACCCTAAGCCTTCAAATGTTCTCTGAAAAATTTAGTTTTGCTCCAAATGTATCTTTTTTCTTCTTATTCTTTGTGCAGTCTCTAACTAATCAATGAACACAGGCTGGCTTATTAACTGCATGTTAACCAGTCTTCTATTATTTAGCACTTGAACACTTACCTATTTCTCAGAGTTTATTTGTTCTTTTTATCTTAAACATAATGATCTCTGATAAGAAATATAAATATAACCAATAATAACTTTTTAGCTGATATTCTGATCTATTGCCATACTGGATTTTTCTCTAGCCATCTTTCTCACAGTTTTGGAGACTAATTTATTAAATTTTAAATTACCTGGGCAGCATACAGAAGCAATATATATACCCTAGTGATCACTATATATTTTTTCTTAATTATAGTTCTCATGTATTCTTTTAGGTACATGATAATTGTAAATGATTTCCAAGCAGTTGGTCTAAGTTCAATCCTGATCAATAGATTCAATATTATACTAACAGGAGCAGTTCAATGAACACTGCTGAATATGATTTTTTATAGCTGTTAATTTGATAATATCATGATGAATTATTTAACTTTACTTATTCATCTTGATTAGTCTGAGTTCACATTCCCTACAACTCCAAAACAATAGTTTATTGTATGTTTAAATATAATTCATTTTTTTGGAAGCTGGAGTAACTGGTTTTTTCCAACATTAGAAATTAAAAAGGAGGAAGAGGCGAAAAGAAATGCTTTCCAGTAGAGAAAGCCTTGTTTTCAAAAATATTTTATTATAAAATCATTATGTTAGGTTCTACAAACAATATATCCAGAGATAACACAATTGAAGATAATAAGAGGACATATTCATAAAGTAAACTGAATGCTTATATTTATTTGTGTCATTAATTTTATAGAGATATATTTTCAATTTTTTTGGCAAATGGATAGGGCAGTATGAAGAGTTGCTACAATGAATCAGGTATTTCTGACTTATGTTTTCTTTTAACATTTTGTCCAATAACTATGTGCTTTTAATTTTTTTTTTCCTTTCTAAGAGATTTCTGCCTGAGGAGCTGTTATAGCTGGCGGCAGCAGCACTGACATGATGGTGTGTATACCTATCTGCTGAAAGTAATGTGGTACAATCATGGACTTTTCAGAACTAATTGCTCTTACACTGTAGGCCTAATTTATACTATGGTCCTAAAATTCATTTAGTTTTGTGTTCCTATTCCTAATAAGTCTTTTCTGTAGTCTGATCTGATTTTACTAACACATGTCTGCCCAAAACAGAAGAGCTATTCTCATAAATACCGATTATTAACCAGGTCACAGATAGATAACTAATTTAAACTAAAAATTTGATCTCAAAATAGAAATTTGGTTAATTTATAAGTGATATCAGGGAGAGGGAGCAGGAATATACTCCAATAGAGAGTTATTGCTCAGATCAATTATTTCATGTAAATTTTTAAGCACTCTATTTTATAACACGTTGGAAGGGAGCATACTATGTGCAGTGTTCCAGGAGAGTCCTACCTTCGAGCATCATTGTGGTAGGAAGAAGGGAGGGTGTGAGTCATTCTGATGGCCCGAGGTGTAGGGGGAGGAGATGTTTCACATTTAATTGTTGCTTTATCCTCCCGACCATCTTCTTCCACCACTGCAATCTAGAGGGAAAAACAAAACATTCAGATGAAATCTGTCTACAATTTCAACTGAAATTATTACAAATGAAGAATTAATAAAGCATGGCTATTTGAGTAATTCTAATAAAATAACAAACAAAACAAAACTTTGGGACATGCAGATCTTACATATATAAATTCACATTAAGCAAAGTGTGTGAATTTAAGAGCTGTTTAAAAGTGAAGACAGTCCAATAAAAACATGGATTCACTACACAAAACATATTGTTCGAATACATAAGCACTATAGATCAATATCCAGAGATTATGGAAAAGCTATTCTGAAGTCCATTTCAACATATCAAGATGTGAACTCTGAACAAAAAGATATCAAACATATATTTGAACCAATTAACTAAAAAAGAAACATCATATATGGTCATTTTATCATAACATAGGTATCTTTTAAGTGGGGGACTTTTGAAGTGAGAAGAGTAGTTGGCAAAAATATAACTTTATCAGATAAAGTGTTTTCAAATCACTAAGGATAATGAAATATACTCTACGGTGTTTAGAAAATGATATGCATTTTATAATGAAAAACCAGGGATATAATCTTGCAAGTTGTTTCACTTCACGACCAGTCATGGGAAAATTGACAAAGGCACACAGAAAATCATAAGAAAATGGAATAGAGAAGGAATTGTTTTAAAGAAAAATTCAGTTCCAGGCCCAGAACAATTCAGGAGACCATAATTTTTGTCAGAGATAGATATACAGAGCTGTATTAATACAAAACTTTTCAGCCATCAGATTAACTGTAATGACATATTTATCAAAACAATGGTGCCATTTTTTCATGGAATCATTGTGCATTGAAATATATAGAAAGACTGTGGAAAATACAAGTACGAGATATATATATTTCTGGAGGTTCTAATAAAAAAAATTTCAATATGGCAAAAACAAAAATTTTAAATCTGTATTTTGGGGAAATGTCTCCTTTGTTTCTATATTAATATGCATAAATATGTTTTTCCATGGTAAAAACTTATGCATTGGAGGAACTTATTGAAATTGTGATCAAAATATTCTGTGGAAATTCAGGATACTTAGTCCACATAGTCTAATCATTGCTCCAGAATGCATAAACACTTTTATTTTTGAAGCACTTGTTTTTATGATCATATTTAAACAATTCAATGACACTTAAATACTTTTAATATTTCTTTTT